GCGCTGTAAAACACGCCACCCCAAATATAGCCCCCATGGTGTGCGCTACCAAAGACGCGTGACGCATGGACGAGTGGAGTGAGGATAGCTGTTTGCGGGAACCTCACAGGTTGAGTAATGTATGAGATTGCCAGACACATAGACGTGTTGAGTGGGGATGTAGCTGCATACTGAAACCTCAAGGGTTGAGTGAGGTTTGAGATTGCCAGACACATAGACGTGTTGAGTGGGGATGTAGCTGCATACTGAAACCTCAAGGGTTGAGTGAGGTTTGAGATTGCCAGACACATGGACGGGTTGATTGGGGATAGCTGCATACTGAAACCTCACGGGTTGAGTGATTTTGGAGTGCCGAACACATACATGCACTGAGTGAGGATAGGCACATACTGAAACCTCACACGTGATTTGTAATGGAGATTGCCGGATAAATAGACGTGTTGAGTGAAGGATAGCTGCATACTGCAACCTCACAGATGGATTGGTTTTTGAGTTTGCCAGACACATGAACGCGCTGAGTGGGAATAGCTACATACTGAAACCTCACGAGTTGAATGATGTTGGATAATGCCAGACACATAGACCCTTTGAGTGAGGATAGCTGCATACTGCAACCTCACAGATGGATTGGTTTTTGAGTTTGCCAGACACATGAACGCGCTGAGTGGGAATAGCTACATACTGAAACCTCACGAGTTGAATGATGTTGGATAATGCCAGACACATAGACCNCATACTGCAACCTCACAGATGGATTGGTTTTTGAGTTTGCCAGACACATGAACGCGCTGAGTGGGAATAGCTACATACTGAAACCTCACGAGTTGAATGATGTTGGATAATGCCAGACACATAGACCCTTTGAGTGAGGATAGCTGCATACTGAGACCTCACGGGTTGAGTGACGTTTGCGATTGCCGGACACATAGACGCATTGAGTGAAGAAAGCTGCATACTGAAACCTCACAGGTTGATTTGTATTGGAGATTGCCGGACACATAGACGCGTTGAGTGACGATAGCTGAATACTGAAAATCCACAGTAGCATTAGTGAGGGGACAGTTCGAGAATGCAATACACATAGACCCGGCCCCCGACCAGTACCCGAACCCCCCCTGAAAAATAGAGGCCATGCGCACCCCCCCCTCTACCTCCCCCAGAAGACGACGAGGGTACAGTCCAAAGTAAGCACAAGCTTACCTGAGGTTAATGCCTATTGGTACGGCGTTAAAAAAAAATACTGAAGTCCCCCATTGGGCGGTGGAGGACTTAGAGCTAAGACACTCCAAAACTCTCCGCCTGAGATCAAAAATTGATCGGACGGTGAAGGNCCACGCAAAAACTGCGGAGCTAGATGTGCGGCACGCACAATGCATTGTTTTCGATTGGAGAGAGGCGAGTATAAAGCAGTAAGGAATTGTTGGCCAAACTTTCGGCAGATAGGTCCACTCGGGAGCGCAAGTGGGGTAGCAACCCATGGTGGAGCGTACATGAGAAGCTGGACGTTGGTGTGTACGCTCCATCCCGGCGTGTGAGTAGGATCTTAGGCTATGCAAGTTGTCCCTGAAGTTTTTGTGGTGAAAATGACCTCCCAGGAGGAAAGTAGCCTGTACCGCGGGACTTCAGAGATGATAAATTGGGTGTTCGGGGGACGTCTGCGTGTTTACTAAGCAGAGCGCCCGGCACAAGACTGGGGTACTTGTGCCAGGAGGCGTGAACTTGGATCTAGACTACGAGCCTATGTTGGAGGCGCTATTTAGCGTCGGTGAGCCGGCAAAAGAACTGAAAGGAACCACA